ACTTACGGATGATAACTAACAGGCCCAGGGATGGGAAATAAGGTGCAGCAGACCACAGGGAGTGGCAGAGCAGGGCTGGGTGAGCTTCTCCGGAGCCCCGCCCTGACTTATGCAGCCACTACTTTCCTCTGCATTTGGGGGAGACAGGGGAAGTTTTCTGCTCGTGTAAAGCTTGACGGTCTCAGAAACCCAGAGGGCAGTCTTACTCTGTCCTACTGGGATGTTGGGTCAGAATCTAGCTGATGGCAGTGGATTTGGTTCCTTTTAATTTATATGAAGCAGGATTCCGATCTTTTGCATCAATTTAGTCTCATTTCTACTTTTCTTACTGAAAAATCAATATTTTCAAAAAGACTTATAATCCTAGTTATTTCAAAAATAAAAATGATATTTCTTGTCTCTATAAGTTGAATAAATACTAGAAATAATTTAGGACCTGCATCTATTGTCTTTACAAGGGGCTTATAAAAAGGTGACCAGACATCCCGCTTTTGGCGGGACAGTCCCGATTTTGGGCGGTTTTTTAAAAGTCCCGAATTTTGGAAAGAATGAACAACAAGCTAGGGAATGGTCTATTGGTTCATATAGAATTAATAACACCCCCTCCTCCGCCCGTCAATAGCGTCCCACTTTAAATCTGGTCACCTTAATTAGTTCTCTTTGTAGAGTTCTCTCCACAGTAAATGGCTCCTCTATACAGGTTCATGAAGATGAATTGTTGTGATATCAAGAAGAAATATTTCGAGCAGCTACAGCATGAAATGGAAATAAAAACTTAAATAACCTCCAGGACTTTCTTATTTTTTTAAATTTGAAAATGCAAGCCCTATCATTGTTTAAATTTAAATATAGTACAGTAATTCACTTGCATTAGGCCTCAGTGCTTAATTTAAGTGTAGTACTCGAATGGGCCACAAGAGGGCCCCCAGGATTTTCCCATTGTGTGAACCTTGAAAAACCTTTCAAGGGCACATTGGCAGACAGATGGGTTAGTTGAGATTCTCTGGGAATTGCAAGGAACTTTTCACTCCACTATGGCATGGAACCCCCTCGAGTCTACCTCCTTGAAAAGGGTGGCATCATTTCGTGTGACTCTCTGGGCTGGCTCTCCTAAAGTGTTACGAGAGAAGGTCCATTCACTCGCAGGCTTTCATCCCTGTCCCACGAGCCCTCCTCTACCTCCTCTAGGCTGCTATTCCTCTTCTGAAAAACGCACCTCCCTCTCAGAGTTGTTCTGAGGATGGCCTGGGCTGCCAGAAGGAAGAAGCTTCACCTGTGTCTTGCGTAAGAAATTGCTAATAAATGGCAACTTTTACTGTTGTTGTTCAGGATGAGCATACATATGAAAAGATACCATAGTGCACTTGCTTTGTGCAATGACGTTTCACGATGGGTAATGGAATCGTTGCCAATCGTTCAGCCTTGAAGACACAGTTTCCTGGTTCCAATTAGTAAAATAAATACCCCAAACCCCGGCCATGGAATTGCCGCAGACTCAGCCACCTGACAGTACAGAGTAAACCCGCTCTAATCCGGGCTACCTGCACACGGTGAGTTTGACAGTGCAGCTGTTTCCTCTGTGATGTTTATGGAGAGTTGTTGCAAATTCCAAAACTGAAAGTTACTGAAGGTGGTGCTACTGAAGAGTAAGCCAAAGCTCAATCTTCTGTTCAAACTCAATCTTTAGGTTTAGCTCTCTATTTACTGTGGGCAGAGGTTTTCTAAGTTTAGCTCTGTATTTACTGTGGCCAGAGGTTCAGTGGGTCTCCCTAACATTCTCATATTTTAAAAATATCGAGTTTGCAAGTAGTTTTATTTTCATTTACTCAATTTAAAAAAGGCAAGAGAAGCAACAGAATGATGTGGACATGTCTAAAAACATGAGGAAAGACCACTGGTAAATGACCCTTAAAGGTAGCTATGCAAACTTAATAGGTCTTTCCAGGGAACTGATTACTGTATAATTTGAGTATGAGCTGAGTTTTTCAGGACACGTTTTATGCAGTTTTAGTCATAAAATTAGGTGCCTTGACTGATATTCGGGTCGACTTAAACTCAAGTATATACTGTATCTAAAATTCTGCTGTTCTGAGTGTGAACTGATATTCGGGTCGACTTAAACTCAAGTATATACTGTATCTAAAATTCTGCTGTTCTGAGTGTGAACATAGAAATGAGAACCCTATTCGCACACTCATATCACTTTTCATCACCTCACTATTAACATACTTAAACATGTCATAGCAAATGTGGTGAAGAAAGCTAATGGTACCCGGCTATCAAAAGATATAGTGTCTCGCGTCTTAAAGGCTTGAAGATAAACAAGCGGCCATCTAGTGAGAAGCAATAAAGTCCACATGGAAGAAGCACACCAGCCTGTGTGCTCACGAGGTGTCGATGGGATCAGGTATCAGGCATCAAAGACCCAGAACAAAAAAATCATATCAATGAGGGGGATTACAGATTGGGGACACAAAACCCATCTGTAGACAATTGGACATCCCCTTACAGAAGGGTCACAAGGAAGAGGCGAGCCAATCAGGGGGCAGTATAGCACCGATGAAACATACAACTTTCCTCTAGTTCTTTAATGCTTCCCACCCACCACCACTATCATGACCCCATTTCTACCTTACAAATCTGGCTAGATAAGAGCATGTACCTGGGTACAGATTAGATCTGGAAACACAGGGAATCCAGGACAGATACAAGACCCTTAGGACCAATAATGAGAGTAGCCATACCAGGAGGGGAAGGGGAAGGCTGGAGAGAAAGGAGGAACCGATCACAGTGATCTACATATAACCCCTTCCCTGGGGGACAGACAACAGAAAAGTGGGTGAAGGGAGGCACTAGTCAGTGTAACACATGAAATAATAATAATAATTTATCAATTATCAGGGTTCGTGAGGGAGGGAGGGTGGTGGAGGAAGGGAAAAAAAGAGGAGCTGATACCAAAGGCCAAAGTAGAAAGAAAATGTTTTGAAAATGATGATGGCAACAAATGTACAATGGATGGATGGAGTATGATAAGAGATGTATGAGCCCCCAATAAAATGAATAAAAAAAGAAAAAGAAAACTTAAAGCATTCTCATCTGGAAAGGACGCTCCAAAGGGGACATAAGAAGAGAACATAAAATGTTATAAAGGGGGGAAAAAAAACAAAACACGTGGCTTGAATAGTGAAATCCTGAACTACGACCTGGAGGCATCTCTTTAAAGGAAACAACGTAAGACAAAGACACAGAAGGACTGGTCTGGGAAGCGGTACAGAAGATTGTTGTGGGAATCAGAACGAGGCCGGCCTGGGGATTTTCCTGTCTACGTGGAATCTCCCACCTGCAGTCAAGTTGACACCAACTCAGGGAGACTCGTGGGTGCCACAGGAGTGAAGAGTGGTTTCCATGGCTGGTTTTGGGGGAGGTGCCCCTGGGCGGGCTTGCCCTGCAGATTCACTGAGCAGCGGAGCACACTCACCGTCACCCTCCACCCCAGGGGAGGCCGTGCCCACTGCTCCTTCATTCCCAGAGCCGGCTAGAAGAAGCCCTAGTCCATGCCACTGACAGTGCCCCTCTCGGACAGAGCCGAACTCCCACTGGACTCCCAAAGTCTTCATGAAAACAGAGCAGCTGGTGGGGGCAGGGTGGTGGTGGTGGTGGTGGTGGTGGTGGTGGTGAAACTGCTGACCCCGTTGTGCGCGGCTGAGCACTTAGCCACTGTGGCACCAGGGTCCCTTTTATTTCTAGATACCATGTCAAACTCATGACCCTAGAGTGGATTCCGACTCAGAGCAAGCCCACAGGACCAAAAAGATCTGCTCCATGGGGTTCCAAAGCCAAAAATATTTACAGAAGCAGACTGACTCCATAGGGTTTCTGGGACAATAAATCATTATGGGAGTAGAGACCTCATCTTTCTCTTACAGAGAGGTAGGTTTGAACTGCTGACTTCCCACCAGAGTTCCCATGTCTAGATCAGAGCCTTAAAATACATGAGATAAAACGCATTAGCCATCTTACAACAGACATGTCCCGGAGAGTCGGTGGAGGTAAATCTCAATAAACCCTGAGCCCTATCCATGCATCTCTGAAGAACCCCCAGGCCACACCCTTCTAGCCAACCTTCTGAATGAGACTGAGTCTCAGTAGGAGAGGCCACCGCAGCCTTACTCTGCGTAGGTCAAGCTATCAGCAGCACTCAGCTCCCAACAGATGTGATCAGTTTGGTCACTTCCACTTCCAGTGCACCCACGACACTGAAACGCATCATGGTTTAGTTAGAAAACAAGGCCAAGGCAGTGTGGGCAAATTCCGGTACGTAAACATTGTTAAATCAGTTTGCTCAGATTGATCTTCAACTATAGCAAATGTTGACGTTGCAAGTTCTGGGGAAAAAAGATGTAATGCCAGTGAGACCCTCTCCACAGCCCCTTCCATACAAAAGACTCTGCGGTTCCATCCCTCCAAGGTGCAAGACCAAAACATACTCAAAATGGAACATGCCTTCTCTCCAAATGTGAAAGCTTCCCCTATCTCAGTGGCTGTATCGGTTACAGGCTGATATCAAGCACTCTCTGATCGACTGACAGCGGAGTCAGAGGGAGGGAAACGGGAAGAACAGAAACAAAGCCATGCTGGCTGAAGAAGGGCTAAAGGGCAGATAATAGCATACCTGCTGGAAAATTGGAAAACCTAATATAGTTATTCATGTGGGCCTTGAAAATGCATGGGAAAAGTCCATGACTTTTCAATTCTATCTTCCTGGGAATTTTTGAAAACACACACACACACACACACACAATTTACTCTTCTTAGGTTAAAATATTGACGATCCTCCAAGTTTCTCTCTTCTTTAACCTATAAGAAAGTGTATAAATAAACCATCAGAGAACTCTACACGTTATATCAATGGAAGGCCATTGGGCTGCAGGCCCACAAATTTCTGACACCAGTGTCGATGGATGTCATCTACTCATTTGCATAAAATGTCAGGCACTCACCAATGGTGTAGAACCTCTTCAGTTCACTCTTACGGGAAGGATGCTTCTGGGTATTCGCCGCATTATTCTGCTCTTCTTCAATGACGGGGGTCTTGGGTGCTGGAGGCTTACTGGCTGGCAGGGCTTGTTTTCCTGCCCCAGACAGAGGGTTGAATCCTGGGGCAGTAATGTCTACTGACTGGGACTTCTTCTTCAACCTAAAGAAAAAGAATAGCACACGCTGCCGTTACTGACTCAAGCGATACAGGTTCTAGGTCATGCAGTCACCACTCTGTCCATGACATTGAATTATGGAACTGTGCTCCGTGGTGCTTTCAATGAGACTGCTCCCTCTGGAATGGATTGCTAGGCCACGCATCCTAGGTGTCTCTGAGTGGACTGAAACTTCTGATCTTTTGGTTAGGAGTCAAGCACTTAGCTGGAACCCCTACAGCCCACATTACGAGGAAATCACTTTACCCAAATTGTTCATGCTAGTCAAGAGAAATATAAATGGAAACTCAATGCAGTGTAACACAGGTTCTGAAATAAAATGAACAAAGGCATAATTCTAAGTGTAGCCATGAGTAGCCATGAGAATTCTCCTCCACTGTGTCGAGTCTGTCATCAGGGACAATCAGACTGGACACTGTGGCAGTACAGACTAAAGATCAGGGCATGCATCTTTTGACCAGCAATTTTATTCTTGGCTATCACATCCATACGACACAGAGGGACGCTCACAGCAGCAGGATTTGTTATACAGAATAGCTGGAAACAAAACAACCCAAATGGGCATGACTTAAATAAAATAGAATGTACAATCTATAAAACAAAATTCTATACAGCTAGGAAAATTAATGGATTTCAACCATATGCAACAATACAAATAGGTTGCATAAAAAGAATGTCAAGTAAAAGAAATCCAATACAAACATAGCACACCCTGGGTGAGTCTACTTCTATGCAGTTCAAATACATGCAGAACCTATCCATGATATTACAAGTATGCAGGTTTTTACCTTAAAGGCATGAGGGGTTTTCTGTGACTGTTGCAATATTGTAGTTTGTGACTAGGATGCTGGATAGAATACATTTACTTTGTGAAAATTCATTGATCTGTGATTTATTTGTTCTTCTCTGTAAAGGTTATCATAGGTTATTCTGGTCAGAGAAAGTTCCCAAAACAAACACACTCAATTTTTAACTTAAACATAATCACTTATCATGGAGATTATATGTAGTGACTGAGTGGTTATTTGCTGCCAAATAAATAGAATGAGATTCTGATACTACCAAAAGGTATACAGCACATATGTTAGCTAAAATTCCCAGAACTTATTATCTTATCACCAGCCATGGTTCACACCGCATCAGTGGGCTTCTGGGAGAACTGATGTCATCTAATGGAGGATATTAAGAATAACAAAGGCTTATATTTTTTAAAAGTTCTATGTGCATAAGTTTTGGCCGAATGTCCACGTGTTCTGCAAGTCCTTTCCATTGCTTCTGGGGGACGAGCAAGGAGCTTGGCCCTGAGCTACTCTATTTCCATCCCAACCTCCATGCTGTTCATAGGTGATAGCAACTGTCAGTACATTTTCTGAATGGTTCCTGTACCAGGCATTGCTCTAGAGCCAGGGAGACACTGAATCCCACAGGCAAAGGCCTCTCCCTCATTCTTGGGGAGGAAGGCAGGTCACACATAAACAACACATCAATGCACACAAGAGCATGTGGAAGAACATCAGTGAAAGGGACAGGGAGTGGACTGTGCCCCTGTAGAACCACACATAGGAGAGCGGACATCGGAGCTCATAGCACTTCATAGCACTTCAGAGAAGAGCCCAGGACAAGGAGAAATGAGGACCTCTAACTGGGGAGCAGCATTTCAGCAAGAGGGGGCACACTTGGTGTGTTTGAGGACCAGGGGTCACTGTGGCTGGCGCAGAGAGAGGGGAGAGAAGAGCAGACGAGGTCTGTCAGTGTGCACAGGTGCAGAGTGCCTAGTCTCCTTCCTAGGGAGTGGCTAGTGGGACTGAACTGGTAACCTTTCAGGGGCAGCTCCACACTCACTCACTGCACCCCTAGGGCTCTCTGCAGTAAAAGCACACCACGTGAGGGAAGAAGAGTAATGCAGAGAACAGGTTAGGATGTAAGTTGTAGGTCATGCAGGCAATTAAAGTTAAATAGCCCCCCGACATGGCTTCCCAAAAAGAAAGCACACTTTAAAATGCACAAAGGTCTAGACAGCACTAAAAAGATTACAGTGATCTCCAGTAACTCTGGAAAAACACCAGTATTCAACCAAGTAGATCTATCCAAATGTCAAATGTCTATAGCTCAGCCTATAGACCAGCGGTTCTCAACCTGTGGGTCGCAACCCCTTTGGGGGTCAAATAACCCTTTGCACAGGGGGCACCTAAGACTATCAGAAAACACATATTTCTGAAGGTCTTAGGAACGGAGACACCGCTCCTCTATCGTCTCCAGGTGGGTCTGCCCACAGGTAGATATGCCCACCTACGAGTACCCCGGTGTGAAGACTGTTACCCATGCTACACCACACTTCAAGACAAAATGTCACTTATTTATCATTAGAAATAAATATTTCACAATATAGAAATACATACTGTTTTGTGATTAATTATTGTGCTTTAATTATGTAAAATTTGTAACAATGAAAATATATCCCACATATCAGATATCTACATTATGATTCATAAGTGGCAAAATTACAGTTATGAAGTACTAACGAAAATACTTTTATGGTTGGCGGGAGGCAGGGTGTTACCACAACATGAGGAACATGTTGCAGCATTAGGGAGGTTGAGCACCAATGGTGTAGACCTTATTTCAAAATGGAATTTGAGCTTTAATATAAAGCCACTGATTTTGGAGGGAGGGCAAAGGCTATGGGCGAGGAGGCAGAGTGACCACTAAAGGAAAGGTTCGGAAAGAAGTCCAGCTTCTCTCTACCTCTCAGCAAGTGTTACCACCGAAAGGTATACTTCACACATTTACTAAAATGACCAGTATAGATTTTCTTATCACCAGCCAGGGTCATCTCATTTGTAGGCTGCTGGGTTACTGATGTCATCTTTAGAGGATATTAAGAATAACAAAGGCGATTATATATATATATACACACACACACACACACACAAACATACATGCACACACACACATACACTTTGGGGGCTCTTACATCTCTTACCACAATCCATACATTCCCTCTATGGCTTATCTTTTTTAAAGTGCTGTGTGCATAATTGATGGCCAAATGTCCAAGTGCTCTGCAGCCCGCTCCATGGTTTCTGTGGGGTGAGCAAGAACATGGCCCTGAACGTCAGTGAGCGGTCAAAGGCAAGCAGACAAGAACTCCTCCCACCCCTTTCCTCCAAGCGCTCTTCCCAATGAAGCCTGGGGGGGCAGCAGGCTTTTACTGTTACAGAACCCTGGGAAGTTGCTATGAAAGATTTCCATTTGCATGTTTTTAGAAAGCAGAACTGTGTGGGTAATTGAATTACTACTCCCTTAAAGAGTCTAAAAATGACTACTGTGGTTGACAAGGAAACCTGCTAAATGCTACCTCCAATTTCCAAATTTCAGGAGAGGGGAAGCCTTTCTAAAATTTTAACAATGTCCTTAATTAAATGTGTTAAACAAATGTAAATATAGCATAAGCGGTGTGTAGGTGGGCCTGGGATAGAATACTCATTGATAATAAATGAAACATTGCAAATAGAGACAAAAATAATCTCTTAATAGGCACCGAACTAATTCTGGGTTAATGTGCTGTGCATTTCCAAAGGGAAGTGAGCGCCCGGCCTAGGATGAAGGATAAGCAATGAGTACACGGAAGGAGACATCCCTCTGGGCTTCCTTCCCATAAACAGAGCATCTAGTGGTTCACAGCCCTTGCCGTTTCTTGTCCCTCTTTACGATTTCCACTCCTCAGCCCATGAGCCAAGCACTTCTTACTGCGTAGTGACGATGCTGGGTACTTTTCTGAGCCTCAGTTCCCTGAGCTTTCCAATCGGAGTAAAGCATTCTACCAAAGGGTCTGAGAATTAAGCAAACTTCCCATGTGAAAACCTTGGAGAGCATTTCGAAAAACAAAACCAAGAACCCCAACTGCCACGAGTCCGGTCGCTCTGGGGCAAATGAGAACGGCCCTGGTGGAGTTCTCAGAGGCCAACTCTTCACTCATCACAGGGACTAGAAAGCCTCAGCCTTCTCCCGCCGAGGCAGCCGGGGTTTAGGCTTAAACACACACCTGCCATCAGGCTGAAGACTCAAGGTGGCCCCATTTGTGTCAGAGGAGAACTATGCTCACCTTGTGGTTAGCAACCCCGTCAGTCACCTGCTGCCCCACGAGGGGGCCTGTAGTAGAGCATCGGTCAGGGAGCAGAAGGGGTTGTTCCTCTCCATGCCTGGGGCCCCCTGCAGGAGGCTGGCAGCCAATGCAGGCTAAGGGGCAGGCGCCAATTCAAGCCCCAGCCAGGTGGGCTTAATTCAGCCAATGGGGTCAAACCAGTCGTGTGGCTCACGCCTCCCAGCTGAATGTCCTAAAGGCGGGGACCTGGAGACAGCCACCCTCTTGCCAGCTGCTCCTCCGCCATCCACTGGGACCTGCTGGGTTCCCTCTCTCCTCTCTC